AAAAGAAAGATAGCCCTTCAGTAAAGCTTGACAGTCCTGGTGTCATTCTGTATGCTGATAGATTGTACAGGTTTTTAACTCTACACACTAGGCACATTTTGCCATTGATTTGGCATACATGCAGTGTATTTAGTTCTTAATCATGTGTGAAAACCTTTATTAAAACTATATAACCATACTCTGATATTTCATTCCACTAAATCCCCACAGCACTCCTAGGGTTTCTCTACTTCTATTTCTGGTCTCTAGATTTACTTTTAATTTTTTGTTATATATTACCTTGCCTTTTCTCCAGAGAGCTCAAGATGGGGTACAGAGCTGACCTTTCAGCTTCAGAGCCCAACAGTGTTGGAGGTATTTAAAACTGAGAGCATGAGAACGGCTCAGAGGAAACTAGAACCTGGATTTCCTGGTCAAAAATTAACACCAGTCATGTCTTTCTTGATTAAATTAGGAAGGAAAAGAGAAAGAAAAGCCAATAATACAGTTTCCAGAAACTACAGAACTTTTGGATGTGAATCCTGAACCATTCTATGTTGCTCTTGATGCTCCTTAACAGAAAGGATTACATGATGTGCCACTTCATCCCTCAGACACTTACAAAGAAAAGTGCTAGCTGCAGGAAAAGCCTCAGCTGGCCTCAAAAGAACCATACTGAAGTAATTAGGCCAGCTATGTTGATTTACAACCACCTATAAATTAGAACATCAAAAGCTGTGAACAACCGTGCCAAACCCTGTGTGTTGCTTTGTTTGCTATTCCTTGTTTTACCTAGCTAAAATATTTGATCCTTAGTTAGCTGATTGAAATATTGCTTTTGGTTACTCTATGAATGGCATTGGGTGCTGCTTAGATGGCTTTTTATTTCTGATTTAACCATGCTTTTGCTCTTGATAACCTTCCATGTGTGATTCTGGATTGTTCTTCTCTAGCTATTCTCTTGAACTGTAAGTGTCCTCACCTAGGCACTTGTTGGATCTGAAGAACACTGCTGCTAATTATACCAGTCAATAATGATAACATGGCCAAATATCTCAATTGGGTATTTCATCGCACATATAGAGGTAGTAGTGAGTCTCTTTGAAGGCAATGGAATACAGACATCAGTCAGACAAGTTCATGTTGGAGAAATCTGCAATAATTAGGAAGCATTCTTATTTTGTTGATCGTGCAAAAATAACATATTCTTCTGAAATTGTGCATATAGTGGATTGAAGATCTCTTCCCATGGCAACTCCTACAGCTTCCTGGAAATGCTAAACAAAGAGGGTTCTTATACTGAGGGGAAAGGGACCTCCTCCCACCTCCCAAAAGTGGCAAAATCACAGTCTATGACTGGAACCCTTCTGGATCCAACACATGCTTCTGGAAAATATCATAATAAATCATAAATCAATCATACAATTGCAAAATATGTCAGCAGAGGGAAACAACTGTATGCCGCCTTTATAGATCTTAGTGCAGCATTTGATACTGTAAATAGAGAGACGTTATGGAAGAAACTAACGGATCTCAATATGGAACCCAGACTGCTGGCACTAATCAAGGCACTTTACACAAGCACCTACCTGAAAGTGCGACTTGGGATGCAAGGAGCCATGACAAACAGTATAGAAACATACAAAGGGGTCAGACAAGGGTGTATATTAGCACCACTGTTATTCAGCTTATACGTAAATGATCTCCCCGAACAGTTGAAGGACCCAGAGGTACACATGCCTAAGCTGTGCAATACACATTTCAACATCCTTCTATATGCCGACGATATGATTTTACTATCATATTCGCAAGTTGGGCTACGTAGACTGCTGAGAAGGTTTAATTCCTATTGTCATAACAACGCTCTAACTATTAATAAATCAAAGTAAAAAACAATGGTATTTGGCAAACGACGTAACAGACACAGATGGTTCCTGGATGATGAACCAATAGAGCAAGTTTGCACTTTCACATATCTGGGAATTGTTTTTTCTGAGACCGGCTCTTGGCTACCACACCATCAAAAAAGCTCAGTTAGGGCAAGAGTACGTGCAAATCAACTACTTAAACTGACAAATCACAACCAACCAGGATCCTTAGACCCACTTCTCAAAGTATATAAAGCAAAGGTTACTCCCATGCTCTTGTACGGAGCTGAAGTTTGGGGTCTAAACCAGGTACCATTATTAGAGCAATCACAATCACAGCACCTGCGAAGTTTCCTAGGAGTGGACAGGACGACCCCAGCTGCCGCAGTAAGAGCGGAACTGGGAGTACACACAGTGGATGGCTTATCCAAAATCAGGGCCTACAACTACTGGGCAAAACTGATGGCCATGGAAAATGATAGACTCCCAAAACTGTGCCTGTTAGAGCAGATAGAAAATCAACATCAGACCTCTTGGTTAGTTCTCCTGACAAAATACATTAGGAGCTGTGGACTTCCGACTCGGTATCCGAATCTCTTAGAAGAGTTAGACCCAAAAATAGTTGCTCAACGAGTATTGGATATAGAAGGCCAAAAAGACATCGCTACCCTCAGTAAAGCTGGCTCACTGAAATGGTTAGGCCGCTTTAAACATACCTTCCAAACAGCTCGATATCTAAAAACAGAAATGCCTAAACACCTTAGGAGGGTATTTACCAGAGCTCGTTTTGAACAGCTGGATACAATGGACAAGCACGGAAGGTTTAATCAAGTCCCATACAACGAACGATTTTGTATTTGTGGAGCACCAGAGGTGGAGGATATCACACATGTATTGTTCAACTGTGAGCTGTATAAGAAAGAGAGAGACCATTGCCTTGGACCATACATTATTCAAAAAAACACACTGGGACCCATATATTAAAACCTCATTTTTGTTGGCCGGCCAGAACCCTAAAATAACACACAAAACAGCCCTTTTTCTATTCAAAGCAACACAGCTGAGAATTGCACATTTAGAATCAATTGGGGTAAACTGTGGAGGTGACGCAGACATTTGACCTGAACGAGATCTTGTTAACAGCTTGTTTATTTTAACTTCTTTTATACCGAGGGTTGTATGTTGTATGTATGACTATGTGTTAATTGTGTTATGTGTTAAATGTTTTGATACGGCCAATAGGCCAATCAATAAAACGTATCTATCTATCATAATAAATGCCAATACTTATCTGAGGATATAATGTGGACTTGTAAAGCTTATTTTGAACATATAAAACAATTATTTTTTATCTTGATTAAAATGAGAATAAAAAGAAATCACAATCAATGGATGGCTAAAACAAATGTTAATTAAAATCCTTGCACCACTGTTATTCATCTGTCCCCATCCAATATCTTCGGACTATTGGAAAAGAAGTGATTTGAGAATGGCAGAATATATTTAGTTTTCATTCCAGGAAATCAATATAATTTCATTCACTTTTCCTTTGGCTTTCTTGAGTTCTTGTATTGCTGTGCAATGCAAATGAAACAGGGGAAAGGAATTATTTCATGAAGCTTGGAAACCCCCAGGAAAGTGAAGAATTCACGCCCACTTATCTGCAGATGTTTTTCACCAAAAACAGTTTTGAAATTAGTAGTTATTAGCATTTCTGGAGACCTATGTGGAATTAAATCACTATATCCCTTGGGCGTACAGTGTAAAAGGCATGACCCAAAAGGAAAAGCGATTGGGAGAGGCAGACTGACTAAGAAAAAGTGAAGCAAGCTCCCAATGTCTTTTCTTTTTATGACTGATGTTTGGGACCAGACTGGTCTGTCTTTGCCCTAAGGTGTTTTCTCTGAATCAGAATAGACAGCCTCTCAATGCTTCTTAGTTGATGGATGCGGTTAGAATCTCTAGCCCCCCAGCAATATGGCTTGTATCTTCTGTACTGTCAGTTATAGACCAGAAACTCCAATATGCCACTTGTGAATGGCATATTTTGGTCTTCATACTGTTGGGTATCTGTGACAGAGAAAAATTATTACTAAACCCCTACAAATTTGGGATATTTCCTTCTCAAGGGAGGCTCTATTGATCCCTCCCTGCACTCTTTTTGCCATTAGGAAAGTACATTCTTTTGTAAACAGGACTTCATCCATTACATGGCTGGGATAGAAGGATGTGTGATAGATATGCTTTTTAAAATCATGTAATATGTTTTTAATTGCTTCACATTAATTGGATTGCTTCCCCCCAAACTTTTAAATACTACATATTTCTTTAGTTATTTTGTTTTCACTTATAGTGTAAGCCACTTTGGGTCCCATATTGGGAGAAACATATTTGCAATGCACTAATTTGGGAAACCTAAAAATGTTGATGCCGGTATTCAAGATGGGACCTCTCCACATACTGTTCTAGAACACTAAAATAAGTAGTGATAATGATCAGAGAATCACAAATTTGGGTGAGTATGCAAAATTTGCAGATTTGCAGAGGTGTCTTTACTTTTAACATATGTGCATTTTACTTGTAAAACATTTTTTTCCATTTTAAAGAGAATGTTGTAATCTCAAAATTGAAAATGTAAGTAGAAATTCAGCAAATAAAATCTACATTTAATTTAAAAGATGAGTGTGAAAGGTAAGTGTTATTATCTTCACCTCTCACTGAGCATACAACCCCCCCTGTTATGTCAGCTCCACTGGCTGCCAGTCTGCTACCAAGCACAATTCAAAGTTCTTGCTTTAGCCTATACATAAAGCCCTAAATGGTTACCTGTCCGAATGCATCTTCTGGGATACAGGGCTGTGTGGAAAGGTCCTTAGGATACCATAGTGTTGTGCTGGATTTTTTAAGGTAATCCAGCACAACTTTATGGTATTATTAGGCTGGAAGTTTTTTATTTCAATAGGGGTCATTATTATCCATGTTATAGTGAACCTTATAGTGTTCATATGAAGTTTGGAAATATATTCCTCATAGGTACAGGAGCATACTATATTACACGAATAATTGTCATTGTCAGTCTCGACATAAAAGTTGGCAAGTAAAACTGGACTGTGAGGTAATAGATTTATCTTGTTTACTGAAACTTTCCTACAGGAAGGAGGTATTGTTGCCCTCTTTAAGATCTGCCGCCAAGATTGCTTCAGAGGCTTATATCCTCAGACGCTCAGGACACTGGCATCTATATGTTGTGTGGAGGAAGGAATACAACAACTGGAAAAGGTATTATCTCAGCACTCTGTGAAATAACATATTCTCCATAGCAATTATTAATTGTTTGCTTCATTCATGCCAGAAGATCATCGTATTTGTTCTTGTTCCTTTGTGGAAAGTAAATCCCAAGAACAGTTCTTGCAAATGCTTAATCGTGGTGATGAATTGTTTAAGAGACCATTATTTTGCATCTTATAGGCAGGTATGGCAGGTTGAGGTTAAAAATGTAATCTCCTGGAAACCAAAAGCAATCCTCTTCATTTATTTTAATGGCATGAACGGCACTTTCATTAAACAGACATTCTGCTCCTAGAGATCCTGGTCATTGCAAAAACATAACAACCCTGAGAAGGAAGCCTTATTCTATGTTATAAATATATAGTCCATTTTCTCCCTCTCAAAAGTAGAATTGCTCACAACATATACAAAATAATAAAACATAAGAAATACATTTACAATGCAAAAAAGACATAAATGCATTTACAATGCAAAAAGGACAGAAAGCAGTCACTGAAATAAAACTAAAGTAAAATGAGTAGTAGCAGAAGGAGGGAAATGATATAACTACCCAAGACAGAGCACAAGAGCTTTGCCACTATTTTAACTTGGATTGTGAAGGACATATGTGTGTACCAAGTTTGGTTGACATCCATCATAGGTAGGACTCACAGGGCTCTCTGATGGGCTCCAACTCCCATCAGTATCTCTCCGCTCCCCCCTCAAAATCCAACAGCGTTCTATGAAGGGTATGTGCTCAAAGTTTGGTTTAGATCCATCAAGCCTTGTAGGAGTTGACCTTTACATATATAAATGGCACTTAGAACATATGATCTTATAGGCCAGCAGCATCCCAGGGGACAAGATGTCCTAGTAGCAAAGACCCTATTTAGGATTTCAAAAAAAATAAATAAGGCTGCACAAATGATTAATCAGACACCTAAACTACAAAGAGAACTAGTATAATTCAACCCAATTTGTACAAGCTCCATAACAGAATTGCTCAATTCAGTTTCAGGGTGGAACAATACTGTCCAAACCATTTCTGACTGATCTGGATATTACAAGCAAACAAACAATCAAATAAAAAAGCCAGGCAGTATGTCTTCAACATGACCAAAATTCAACCAGCCACTGCTCTGTTGTCTTTTTCCCTGGAAGGCAAAGAACTTCTTGTTTGACCAGGCTTTCAGCCTTGGCTGACCAGGGTGGAGTGATGTGTTAGTAGGTTGTTGTAGGTTTTTTCGGGCTATATGGCCATGTTCTAGAGGCATTCTCTCTTGACCTTTCACCTGCATCTATGGCAAGCATCCTCAGAGGTAGCGAGGTGTGGTAGTAAGTGTGCAGTTTTAATATTCATGGTAAATTTTAAATCTTTTAAAGTTTTGTGTTGGGAGGGGGCTTCCCATTTCATGCTTCCGAAAAAACAGAAGACATGAAAGAAATGTTAGAAATGATAAGAATGAATTTTGCGTACATATGTACTATTCAATGCTTTTTTTGACTTTTGTTACCCCTCTGTTTTAATTAATGTGATAAACCATTTAGAAACTCATGGGAGAGAGAAGCAAGATATAAAATACCCCCTCCCCATTAAAATGGTATTCCCTTTTGAGATACTTTCATCAAGCTCTCAATAACATCTGGTTTTTTTATTCCCTCCCTCACCTTTTTAACATTTTGTTTACTTTCATTATTTTCCTGCCCCATTAGAATGATAGCCTATTCAAGTGTCTGAAATGTTGACACATCTAAGTACTTGGCATTTGCATGGGGTAAGTAAAATAAGAGTTGTTAGACAAGAAAACTTTGAACTGACTGTCTCTGAGTTTGTTCCATGAGTTTATGTAGAAATGTGCTCAAAACAAATAAAATTTACTGAAATATGGAGACGCTTAGGCGGATCACATCCCTTACCTCTCTGCAAAATGTCATGTTTTGGGTCAATGAGGTAGCACATAAAAGGTAGTATTGTGCCAATTCTGAGGCAAATATAACAGACAAACATTAAGAAGAGCCTTTCAGTAATGAATTATATGAGCTAATTTTAACCCTCAGGGAAAGATACTTGACTAACTTTTATGATAAACATGGAAATGTTTTCCCCTATGAATTGGGTTGCATGCTCAAAGGTCCTCATTCTTCTCTCAGAAGAGTGTTTTTAAATTTAGGAAAATGAGCACTATTACCAGTTATACAATCTCATCCTTTGTATTTTTGTAAAACACGCTTTTATATTTGAGTATCATAGCTTTTCTGCTTAATGATATACAATGTCATTTCTACTTTAGGATGATGCACTTTGTATTTTAATGTCTAAAATAGATACAAAAAAGATAGAACATTTTTCTGCAGCAGAAGTGAGATCTGTTGGCCAATTGTTGAGAAACTTTTCCAGATTTTAGTCAAGTAGAGAGTTAATTCAAAGACTTGTTGTCCATTTTACACTGCCATATGACAGTATAGACTTATACAATCCACTTCAAAACAGATAATGTGGATTATCTGCTTTGATTATCTGGATTATATGGCAGTGTAAAATGGACAACAAGTTGAACATGAGCCAACAGTGCAGCAGCTAAAAAAGCCAATGGGATTCTGGGCTGTATCAAAAAGAGTATCTAGATTGAGGGAAGTCATGGTTCTATTCCACTTTGGTTAGACCTCACCTGGAATACTGTGTCCAGTTCTGGGCACCACAGTTTAAAATAGATATTGACAAGTTGGAACATGTCCAGAAGAGGGAGACTAAAATGGTCAAAGGTCTGGAGACCATGCCCTATGAGGAGCATCTTAAAGAGCTGTGGATGTTTAACCTGCAGAAGAGAAACTTGAAAGGAGACATGATAGCCATGTTTAATATCTGAAAGGAAGAGAGAACGAGCTTGCTTTCTGCTGCACTGGAAACTAGGACTCGGAGCAATGGTTTCAAATTACAAGAGAGGGGATTTCACCTGAACATTAGGAAGAACTCTCCTTTTGGGGAGAGAGAGCGGTCTAGAAATAAACAAATTATTATTATTATTATTATTATTATTATTATTATTATTATTATTATTATTATTATTATGAGACAAAATATTTTTTTAAACACACCATTAAAACCTATTATAGAATATCTTTTTAAAATCTCAAATTCCTTCCATCAATTTTAAGAAAAAAATGCAAAAAGAAACAAGAACAGTGAACAAGACAAAATTGTCATCTGATTCTTCCAGAACTCTTGAAATCCTTTGGGTATGATAAGGAACTGCTTCTCCTAGCCACAGCATGAAAAATTAATAAACCTTGCTGTTGAATCAAGGGTCTAATTTTATTGTAAGTGATAAACAATCTGAACAAAATAGAAGCATTGAGTCAAGAGCTCAAACATTCTAATACAGTTTGTCAAGGGACTCATCTAAACTGGATTGTATAGCCAAGATCCAAAACTGTTGTTTATATGGCAGAGCATGGAGCTATCCTGCTGGGATGCTGTACCTTTTCCAAGCTACAGCAACTCCTAGCTTGCCATCAAAACAGTGTGCTGATGCAATCAGCAAGAATGAGGGGAGATCACCAAGATGAATCCTTTTTCTCTTCATTGATGCCAATGAAGAAAAATAAATACAAATGAATATAAACAAAAGAGCATCCATGGCTAAATATTATTTCCTTTTTGGTTCAAATACCATAAAACATATACAAGCTTTTCCCTTAGTTAATTTTGTTTTCCACATTTTACCATGGAAAAACTACATCCAGTGCTGACTAGTGACTCCAACAAACCAAGCATTGTCATTGGCACCATCATCATGCTTCTGACCTCATTCAGTTTCCAAATAGAATATGAGAACTTGGTCTTCTGTCCTTTTATTTTTTCTAAAAGTGGAGACGTCTTTTTAGAACAGATAAATATATTAAACATCATGACTGCGGAAGTCATTCATTCTCTGTTCCTTTCTCTCTCACTCACATGACACAAACCCAAAGGCAGTATTCATTTTCCCCTGTGCTGTGCCAAGTGTGTCGAATAGCTCTCTTTGTGTGGGATTTTAAAATGAGAGTTTTTTCTTATTGACCAACCAAAACGTGTTTGCCAAAATGTATTTCTGCTGACTCAAGATGCTTATGTAGTCACACCCTAGAAATGCATTACAATTTGACCGAAGGTGAAAAGGCCACAATTTTATTGTTATAGCTGGGTAATACTGATCTGGTAACTGAATGACCCAACTGCCATCCAAATGGCCAGCCCACTGACTCTATTGCCAGAGGTGACAGCTGAGGAGCACATGTGGCTGCACAAACACTTTGCCGGTCCCCTGCCACTTCAGAGTAATGCCTTCACTACCAAAGCTCATAATCCACTTTCCCCTCAAATAAATTGGAACATATCTGAGGCAGTGGTAGCAATGATACAGTTTCTGCCTGTCAGAGCATGCTCCAAATGAAGTGAGGCTGTTAGCCAATGCTGCTTCTACTTGGCCCTGGAATAACCTTCACAGAGAGGTTCTCATTACACCTTCTTTATCTGAATCACTCAGACATTGTAAAAAATAACCCAAGGTTGATTTTTTAAAATTTTTGTATTATATATTATATTGAAGGGTAGCAATAGACATCCAATAAGTAAACAAACAACATACACTTAGATTGCTAAATTGTTCCTGTTTTTCTGGAATTATTGAAGATCATCACTCACATTTTTAAAAGTGAAAAATATTACTAACAATGGTAAGAAGTAGCCTCGTAGTCATTTTGTTGACTCACAAGAATGTCTTTCTTTTCTACTTCCTTGCTGCTATTTATCAAGTTTCTAGAGCATCACAGTCTGATCATCAGACTTTGACAACACACTTCTTACAGTTATCTTTGTTCAGTGTTACATAGGTCATGCTGCTAATGGAAAGTCAAACTGAATGGTCTCAAATAACCACATTATGAGGCATTAAATGTGGGACAATGATCCTAAAGTTTCCATTGCTTCTGAACTAAGTCTGTTGAAGAACTGACTGATCTTGGCAAAATTA